AAAAAGCTGTGGAAACACTCGCCTGCGGCTCGTAGCATTTCTCGTTCTCCCAAACTTCCACTCGTGTTTGTATAACTCGATAGCAACACGGTACATGTTTTCTATTTCTTAAATATGGTATTTTTAGTATTAGTAGTAGTCATGCGAGGAGGAGTAAGATTCCATAAATAGTGGAATGTGTATTGTAAAGTTTGAGAGTAATTTTTTTTTGTTTTTTTTGTTTGTTTTGTTTTTTTTTTATTACTCCTCGCGTACAATCGATGACACACACCGTAAATACTTTCGCTAACGGTTTCTGTGACATTTTAAACAATTCTCTGGTTTTAATACAATTGTTATACAATTGTTAATACAACTGTTAATGTCAATGTAAAGCTCTAGTGAAGAATTTTATGGGCCCAATAAAATTGTTATTATTTTTATTTTATTTTTTAAAATTACCTTTTGCTTCCTTTTTTAACGACTTAATTGGAACTGTTATTGTCAGTAGTTTTGTGCTGTAAACAATTATCACGTAAAGTTTTGTATATGCATGTATATGTTATTATTATTTATCATTTGTACTTTTAGTTATAATTTCCAACCTGGGAACTTTCAGTGAAAGCTAGGCTAACATGCAAATGAACACCTACCTTCAAATGTGCTTCGGTTATCGAAGTGCAAGTTGCCATTTGGTTTTAGTTCCACAAATCTATTAAATTTATTTCTTCTCATAAATAGGATTTTATCGGGGACCTTGACTCCTGCCGCATCAAAAGCAACACAGGTCACTTGTGCTGAGGTGAACTCAATAGGATAAATGTTCTCTGGAAAAGGCTCCACAATTCCTAAAAGGGAAACTGAAAGATGGAAAAGAAACAGCAGTTATTGAGTGAAATTCAGTAAGAGGACTAGATAGATCGAGCAATGAGTTTTACTCAAGGTGTATGGTGAAACAAAACGAAAAACGTTATGTTTTTAAACCTGGCTAAACCAGTTGAACATTTAGTGTCCAGGGACAAGATATATCATAACAAATCGGTATTGCATTGGCCAGATACTTGAAACTCTGTTCGTAACAGAAACTGTTACGAGAACAACATTGAAGAGAACATATACGAACATCATTTCGTGTTTCCTTTAACATGTAACGGTCCGAAAACACAACATCACTAGCTACACTAGTACTTCTGATTTTCCGGTTTGTAGGAACTTAATTGAAGCAAAAGAAGTCATCCAAGTCTTGGGTGCAAGTCAAGTGAAACTTTATTTCAAAGTCATTAAAAATTCATAGTTTACGGCTAAGAAAACCTTGACCGCGGCGGCGTTTGGATATCTGATCTTACTTGGCATAGATTTGAAAGATTTACTGATTACGATTTACGAATTCAGACCCTGCTTTAGTTTCGTTTGAGAAGATGCATCAAACAGACGAGACCGTGTTTTACCACATTTCCAAACACCTTGAATAGAGGAGTTCCCGCTCTAAGGGGCATTATGGGTAATCAGGCAAGATTGCAAAGAAACGAAGCGACAAAGTGTACGTTTTTCTTCATATTTCCGTTCTGAGTTTCATTTTCGAGAAGAGACTTTTACTGTGGATAGAGAAATTCCTTTTCTACATTTATTAGCGTTTTTGAGTCGATTGAGCTGAGTATTAGCCTACTTATCAGAGTAACGGAGAGGTTATTTTTGTGGCTAGAGCGTTGAAATTATAATAATTAGTACAGCAATTCGCACAATTGATATTGGATAACAAGGTTTTGTAATATTATTGCATTTCTGGGTAGTACAAGAGACGGAAATTTCTTATTAGGAAGTACCGGATTTTTTCTCGACATCGACTTTTCACATGCATAAAACATTTAAAACAAGGGGTAAGTCTCTGCAGTTACTTTCTGCTAATGAGGCAAAATACTGTCCCAATATGGTCTAAGCTCTCGTATTAAAGCGACCAACTACCGTAAGCGATCACCAAGGCTTGACATTTTGAGTGGTCGCGTATGAGAGGTTCGACTGTATTGACGGGACTTCTTCAGTTTAAAATAGGCGACGTTTCAAATAATTTTGCTAATCTTCCTCAAGATGTCAGATGCAAAATGGTGGACTGTTGTTGATGATTATTTTGAATACGTTTCAATGTCAAACAATGTCACGCAACTTGACAGAGTCTCCATGTATTATGATACGGTATTTCTGTCACACTAGTTCAAATACGAAGAAAGATACATTAAGACCTCGTGCGAAATAAATGATAAATGTATAAATGTTCTCTGCAAAGGGCTTATTCAGTTAAGAGAACTGGATGGAGTAACGTGTTTCGCATGACATCTGGGCCTGACACGGAATTGTCTCGTAACGAAGTCAAGTTATAATATGAATCCGCATAACTTTTCCTTCATTTATTCGGTCGGCTGGATTCTCTCTTCGTGGAGTCGTCAACAGAACAGGTTTCACAAAAATGTTCACTTTGTCGAAAGGGAATCTCTTCTTGAATTATATCTGCAACATTTATACGTTTGAGGCCTGTTCCAAAGGTCGTGCTACTGTCGCGCCGAACTAAATTCAAGAATTAAATTCGACTTGAGCACGGAATAAGCACGACGTTTGAAACCACTCAGTTCGGCAGGCTGAATTAAGTTGGGCTCGACTACTTAGCACGGCAGGCCTTGTCGTTTCTGCACGGTCGTAGCGGTCGTAGCTTGAAACGGCGTGCTCTTGCGGTGCCGAACTGAAGTCATAACCTGCTGCATCAGCTGCCGTTGCTTTCTAGCATTTAAAATGGTCTTCAGCAAACAAACTTCTTCCGAACTTCTGCGCGACTGAATCAAATTCAACGTTTGAAACCACTGCCGTACTTTTGTCGTGCCACTGCCGGGCCAAATTCATTTGAGTGCGGCACGGCAGTAGCACCACGTCTAGACTGTAGGTCTGACTCAATACATTATCAATGTTAAAACCAATCTAACCTGAAGAAAAGCTCTTGATTATCAGTGAAGGCAGCAACAAGAACAGAAACCAGAAGGAGACTGTAGCCATGATTGAATCGCGATGCGAGGAGGGTTTGAAATTTAATTCTGTTGATGAAATATCCTTTTTATGCTTTTGTTATTGACACACATTGGTCGTAGAATGTGCTTGCTGACACGCACGATGACGGCACGCTGTCACGTCCAGACCTCCTGTTCATTTGTCTCAATAATAATGATACTTAAATGTCATGTCCCAAGCACACTCAGGTAGATTTTGGGGTTCAAGATTGGGGGTACATGCATTGATCTTATGAAAAGCAAACGTGTTCTTTGAACGATCCGTTCGCTCCATGCAAGATTTATGGTTGTCCACCGATCGATCGCAACCTTCTTTTGGCAACTACGACAGTGTGGACATGATCTAGGACACCAGGAAGTATTTCTCGTGGTTCGACTTTGGCCCGCTTTATTTTCCATTAAAATTGACAACTAACACAGAATGGTGGCGAACCCTTGTGCCCAGTTTAGTCGTGGTCTTTGTGGTTCTTCCTGACTGTTTCCTATGGAAGTTTAGGGCGCGTTAAAGCCCCGTCCACACTACGCCGGGGAAATTTGAAAACGGCGTTTTCACTCTGGAAGTGCATCAAATGTTTTCCGTCCACACTACGCCGGAGGAATTTAAAAACGCAACAATCACTGGCCATTTTGGATTTGTGTTTGAGGAAAACTCGGTCAGGAAAATCGCATGATTATCGTGACGTCATCGTTTTCGAAAAGCTCCGTTTTCAAAATGTTTTCCGTCCACGCGAAAACGAAAAGCCGGCGTTTTCAAATTCCTCCGGTTTGAAGATAGTTTTCGAAGAGCTCCGTTTTCGTGACTGTTGGACTAACCGTAGAAATAAAAAGCTGCGTTTTCAAATTTCTCCCGCGTAGTGTAGATTCGTCAGTTCCTTTGATGTATCATGCATTGTCCGAGTGATCTTGGATCATAAATCCTGATCCGGATCATCCCAAAGGAACGCATCGTTACAGTACCTGGTGGGGGAATTTGGCTTCGCACTTTTATTTTTCATGAAAACGGTGTTAGCGGCTGTTGGCTTGCATGTTGATTTCTCTATTTAGTATCCAAAATGACCGACTTATGTCTGATATACTACCCACAAGAACGACCCATCCAACATTCTGTAACATTGCAACAGAGGTGGCCAAACCTGTGCAACATGTTGAACGCAACAATGTTGTGAATGGTATGTTGCGTTCAAATGTTGCACACGTTTGGCCGCCCTGTTGCACCATCCAATAACATCTTGCAACAGGATGGTAGTATATGCATGTTGTTTTGAAATGTTTCGAGCATTTGTTAGGCCGGATACATATCACAATTTAAACAACCTTAATACCAACTATGAAACCATGGAAGCATTATATTCATAACCGTTTCACCCGCTATACATTCTCTTGAACATAAGCCATATTAGTTCGTCTTGTGTGATCGTCCGGAGGAGGTAGTTCTGACAAGAACGGTTGTTGGTGACTGACGTTTCGACAACCTGAGCGGAAGTCATCTTGAAAGTCAAGTGAAAAGTGTTTGTCAGTTGACTGGTCAGTTTAGCGGTGATGCTATTGGCTGAAAGACTCGTTTCTTTCAGAACTACACTAACTACCCTCACCTAGATGATCACACAAGACGAACTCCTGGGTTCAAACCATTTACTATAAGCCATATTATTTATTTAACTAGAAAAACCAAACTTGACTAAGAATCACAGAGACGTCTGTACTTTTTATTGTAACAAATCACCTAGTGTATAGATAAAATATAAACAAACACGATTGCCAAATCTAATTCCAGCATCAAATATTCCGGGAACTACAAGCTCAGTATTTATTTCTGCCAGCAACAGTTCCTGCATGGCTTTCAAAGCGAAACACATTTTTTTAAAATTAATGGTATGACTCTTTTAAAGAGAAAGTCAGAAGCAAGTATTAGCAAGTGATTCGAATATCATGTTTCATCTATCACTACCTCCATTGGCCGACGTCATGTTGAATTGAGCAATGCAAACTTCGGGTAGGGCCTCTCATTTGAAGTTTCATCATCTTGCCACTCTTGACCCTTTGGTTTTGAAATCAGAATTGTAAACAATATCTACAACAGCCAACGGGAACATCTAAAGCCAGCGTTAAACGAGCTGTCCAAAGCGCCCCCCCCCTGAAGCTCTTGCAAGCATCATGGAATTCTCGCGAACTCTCGGCTACTCTCATCGAACTTGTAAGTGTTCTCATTTTCATGACAGTCGATAATAGTTTCCCCTCCTACACTGGGAATCTCGTGTACTCTAATGCTCGCTTCGCCACACTTGAATGATTGTCGAAGAGAGTTAAACTCTCGTCGACTCTTGAAAACTTTCATCGCATTTAGCTCCGGCTTAAAATGGCTTAGACTCGCATTCGTGTAAGGAGAATGATAAAAGGCTATTCATATCATGTTTTGCTGAGGAGGTATCACTCTTGGCGATCTTCGGGAGCACTCGACTAGCACGGGCACTGACGAAGACTCCCGAAAGAGTTACGCCATCGCGGCGTAGCGAGGATTCGTTGTGTTGATATGGCTACATTAGACACCAAAACCTCAGACTCGGTTTGGTGCTTGTCTCCTTGACTGTATGTCAACTACTGAAATACTGAGAAGTTATCACACCACATGTATTCAGGATGGATGTTATCGATAGAGTGGCGAAATCCTCCTTAGGAACAGGGATGGCGATTTGCCCAATTCTTTGCGTATAAAAACATTTAACAACTCTCATAAAAACGTACACAAAAGTTGTAAAATCACAATGTCGTTAGCACAGTGTGCCTAACGGCCTGTGGTAGGCTCGCAAGGTATTGTAGTAAAATGTACAGCCACCACCTTTTTCCTGCGGAGGCATGCAATCGTAGCTAATCGTTCCCTAAATCAGCTGAGAGTTTCTTGTTAATTTTTGACATCTTTTCGATATATTCTGTTGGTTTATTAAACCTTCATGTCACGTAACCTTTTCAATCATGAAATCTGGTTGTGGCAAGAAATGGATGCAGGAGATGACAAAAGCTTGACGTCAGTAAGGTTGCCCATGATGAGTCCGAGAGATTTTCGACTGGTTTATAGTGCGGTTTGGTTTCTGCGCGCTCTCTGATTGGTTAAAAAGCTTTGTTTTATCAGAGTGTAAGACACAGAAAATCATGTTTTATTGTTTTGCGCGCTTTAAATCTATGTCAGAGATGTTAAAGCTCGGCGAGTGTTCATATATTTCTTTAAAATGACTATTTCAAATTCGCGGAGAGTTTTAAGACAGTATAGGACATGAATATCCATTTTTTTTAAATTATTAATTATAAGTTCGAAAAGTATGTAGTACTGCAAAGCTTGCCATTCAGCACCTTTTCCCAAACGTGTTCTCATCTTCTAAAAAAAATTCTTATCACCATCAAAAATTGACAGTTAAACAACAAGGATCTCACAATGACGCTTTTTTTGATATCTACCATCTCGTACCACGCCCTTTCTATGATTAACGAAGCACGTGACATGATTCTGTAATGGGTCTCATACAAGCAGGCATTACGTGTGACATTTCGTACAGATACTCAGGTTTTATCTACTTTGCCTTTTCGTTTCCTTGACTAAGGTAAGTATCAGTTTGAGAGGAACTTTAATCATATGTCCAAAAGAAGTCAAAAATTAAATAGAGTCGTACATAGCTCAAAATCAAATTACATTCCTCTTGGGGGCAAAATAACAGCATATCGCCCTTCTTTGTTCGGAGCTTGTTCTCTGTCAATCTACAAAAGCAGAAATGAAACCACGGAGAAAGCCAGCACCACAAACAGGCCGACAGATTTCAAAGCCATTGTACCACTTATCTCGTCTTCAGAATCTGTTAAACAGGAAGAGAAATCAAGTCATTGATTTAAATAGAAGTTCAAATTTTGTTTCGTTTCTTTTTTCTTAAAGTTTTCTTTCTTTTTTTAAGTTTTTAATACGCTGGTGCAAGGACAATTATTCGAATTCATCCAACTACACTCCAAATAACGCGAGATGAGTACAAATATTCCTCGATACTGGGACTTAAGGAAACCGGTTTAATGAGAAAGTTGTGGTCCTTTTGGTTAATTTTCTCCTGAGGTGCATCACGTAAAACACAGTTAAAAGTTTGGTTTCTGGTAAAGAAAAACGTTGGATAGTAAATCTCTTATTTGACATTTTAGTATGTTGCATCTCTGTACGCTTTAACTCATCACTGGAATTTTGAAAGTGCCTGCCTTCTTAAGTTATTAATTTTATCCAGAAGAAGGCAGTTTTGACATCGCAAATTGGCCAAATGCAGTGTTGGAATTGGCTTTTTTTACATTTCTTTCTGGAACAGTAGATAATGATATGATTTAAATCTCAGTATTGTTTTACGATTATGATAAAGCCTTACCTTCGACAGTGAGGACAAACCTCTGACACCGATCCTCGTCGATCTGCTTGGAACAATTTGATGGCAGGCAGCAGTAGTAACTTCCACCGTGACTCAGCTCCAGGTCGGCGACGGTCAGGTTGTAAGGGTCATATATTCCGTTGCGTTCGATATTGTAACGTTTATCTTTGAAAAAATCTGTAATGGAACCAAGGAGGTATTATGAACTGGAAATGGAAATCAATACCTTGAGCACCATAATTAAGTCTTGTTTCTCTACTATTGTTGCTGATTTCGGAAAGCTCTCCCCGATTGATTGATTGATTGATTGATTGATTGATTGATTGATTGACTGACTGATTGATTGATTAATCGACTGATTGGCAAACTGACTGACTGACTAACTGACTGACTGACTGACTGACTGATCGATCGATCGATCGATTGATTGGTTGATTGATTGATTGATTGATTAATGGATGGATGGATGGATGAATGGATTAATCGACTGATTAGTAAACTGACTGACTGGTTGGCTGGCTGACTAGCTGGCTGACCGGCTGACTGACTAGCTGACTGACTGACTGATTGGTTGGTCGGTTGATTGATTGATTGGTTGATTGATTGACTGATTGATTGATTGATTGATTGATTGACTGACCGACTGAATGGCAAACTCACTGACTGACTGATCGTGTGATGGATGAATGTGATCATTGACAGCTCAATTTCACATCAATAGATCTATCCACCGATAGGTTTGTTTGACTTACACACCTGTAACAACTGATTTATTGATTGATGACTGAAGGAAAAAAAAAGGCCTCTCTCAAAAAGCGTCAATTACGACCTACACCTTTAAACATTACTTTACTTCATGAAGCACTGAAAGCTAATAACGCGCCCTCAAGTCTTATAACGGACAAGAATTGAACCAATATGCGAAACTAACCAACACAAGTTACCATCTCTTCGTTTTCGTCTTTCTTATATTTCCATTCCACGTTGAGAGGGAACCCTCTGGCGCTGCAGTCCAGTGTCGCGCCCTCTCCTTTCTTTTTTGTGACTTCTTTTTCGCCTTCATGTTCAAACCAAGGTGCAACTAGGAAGAAAACCGGGATTACGAACTAAACACACATAAACTTGAGTAGGGCTGGTTTTGTGGTTTGCAAGAAATCCAGTTTTCATCCAGTTCGTGGAGTATAAGTGGGTAACTGCTTAAGCAAATATTAGGGCACCCTGAAAAGATGCTGGGTTTGGGGGGGGGGGAGTACCCTGCGATGGACTGGCATGACATTTTTACACTACCCTGGTTATTTCTTTTAGACTAAGCCGTAATTCCCAGTATGGGGATATTGACCATCAATAAAATGATATTTCAAAATATTTTTTCTAACCTGGAAATGGCTGCTTCCGTTTAAGTCATCATATTAGTTTTTTCCGTTCACTTATTTTCCGGACGGTGCGCGAAGAACAAAAATATAAAGTGGATATCTGTACAATATTATATAGGCGGATACACTTACTTCTAATCAAGGTGCTGTCTGTCACTTTGTGAGGACTTTTGTTTTTCAATAGCACGTCCAGAAGACAAGTGTATGTACCTCCATCATTGACGCCAACATTTTTTAGAACAACCGGGCCAAGCAAGATTGTGGAAGTTAGTGGGTCCTCAGAGACATTCACTTTGCTCTTTAATACGCCATTTTTAATCAAAGAAACGTTCGCCAGTTTTGTGTCTTGTTGACTTCCTCTCTCCGTCAAGTTGCAAATGATTGAAACGTTGTTGCCGTGTTCCAGGATGCCAACTTGAGAGATAGCCACTTTAGGGATGTCGCTTTCTAAAAGAAAACAATTTAAACTGAATTTTATATATTAGCCCGTTTAAGTATTCTCCTGTCTTTGTCTGGTATGCATTACGAGGTTATCCTCAGTTCTATTCATTACTGGAAATTTTCGAAATTCAAACTGGAATTTTTCTTCGGATACAACTTCACCAGAAATTTCCTATCCATTCGATCTTCCTTCCGGAATTTTTTGTTGAACGGTTGGTATTCCGGAAATTTAACTATTTTTGGGTTTTTTGAAAAACTCTCTAAGGACATTTCCGTACCATTTTCGCCCGTTTCGAAAGTTCCGGAATTTTTGGTTGAATGGAGAACTCTCTTTGTTAAGCTACTTCCTCAGTGCGGAATTCTTCGAGTTGAATCCCTGAAGTCTTTTTGGGTCGGGGATTAATTGAGCGCACGAACAGACACTAGATCAGAAATCACTTTGTTATACTGCGACATAAAACAAATGGAAAGGAAGGTCACTGAATTAAGCGAGTCTTCGTGACAGTGTTGGTTTATGGCCTATACAGTGTGACTCCAGCGTCTTTCTTTGCTGTGTTTAGCTACTTGCATTCTCGTCCCCAGAGCCTCCGTTTCGTTTGGTCACGTGGTCAGCGACATTTTAAGAAGAGTAGCACTGGGGACAAGAATGAGCTACTTGTAATTAAACTCTTCATTATGTGAAGTTTATATGAAATAATTCATATATGAACTGCGGTTGTAGATGAAAGTGAAGAATGATCATCGCAGTAAATTTTCCAATTTAAGCATT